TAATGTTCAAAAACCTAGTAAATCTGCATCAGGACATAAAGTTGAAGATATACAAATAGCTAAATCTAAACCAAAGCCTGGCTGGATTTAATATGCAGCAATATGAAAGTAATATTTTGAAAAAAAATACAATATAACATTTTAATGTTATAATATAGATGTATTTCATGTAGCATAATGAACAATATTTTAAGAATAACTATATGTTGTGGATATATTTAAAGTTTTAATAACACACATAGAAATAAAGTATATAAGATAATTATAATCGTGTATACATACATAGTTATATGTGTAAGCGATGATAAATATTCTGAAAACAAGAAGTCAGAATGCATAATTTTAAAACTCTCATAATAATACTAAAAATATATCATAATTAATCACAAAAAGAGTAAAAAAAAATATTTTTAATTATATTACTTATATAGTTTTATTGAGGCCACGCAGGTGCTGTTGCTCCATCCATTTCAGTAGCAACACGATTGTCAGAAAGCAATCGATGGGAGGTACCACCAATGCTAGCTCCACATTCAGGACATTTAGCTATTTGCATAGCCCCCCCACATTCGGTTATGCAATATACATGACCCTGTGGACATGCATACCAATGACCAGATTTTAATCCCATAGCTTTTACGATCATTCTTTTGTCTTCTGAGGAGACTTCTCCTACAACTTCTATTGTTTTCAGTAATTTTTCTAGTCGATTTTTTGCTACAAGTGCTTGGTCATGAGAAAATATCTGGAAGCACATAATTGCATCAGTACAAAGTTTGTAGGCAGTTTGTACTAGGCTAATGTTTTGATTTTTGACATATTCTTTCTTGGTATGAATTTTGCAAAGTTCAGTAATCCAGTGCAATCTAGAGAGCTCTCGGTCTATATCATCATTAATTGAGCACTTATATTATATCAGCTATTGTGCATTATAAAATGTAAATAATTTCACATTGGGTCAAGAATATTTTTTCAACACCATTTTCAGTAATTTTGTTATAAAACCTCAGCAATTCCTTCATTATACCATAAATAGCCTCTAATTTGTTAATAGTTATTATATTAAGAGGTATTCGTCGTTTGTTTGTATATTTTTCTTGGGTTTGTGTATTCAAATAATTGATCATCTTCTTCTTCAAATTTGAGAATCTAAATAATTTGAAAACAAAAATTATAAAAATGCAATGTGAATAATCAGCACAATCAATTATACCTTTACTAAAATCCAGGCTTTTTGTATTAAATCATTAATAATGGCTCTAAGCTCTGCTGTCTTTTTGTCATTTTCTTTTGGCAAACCATATATTTTTGTCTTGCACTTCTTGATATACTCATAGGCCATCTTACAAGCTGTTGCATATCTTTGAGTTTTATTAATAATGCTTTTGCATTTTGGACACTGTTTCGGAGAAATTTCTTGCGACGATGTAGGCATTGAAAACCAATCATCCAATCCTTGATATTCAAATACATGTCCACATTCTTCTAAAACAACAAATCTGAAAAAAAGTTCAGAATAATTGTGAAATATAATGAACTGTATCAGAAATGCATGCAGTATCATAAAATATCATAAAGAATCAAAAACAAAATTAGGTGGAATTAACTTAATCAATTTATATTTAGTTTAGTGATTTATAAGTATTCCGATTTTCCGCAAATAGTTTAAATATTGTACATTATTGTTGTTCGAACACGGCGTATGTCCGAAGAGCGCTTAGATCTTTCAGAAAAAATGTAATACCTCGCATCATCCTCATCTTCATTACCAAAGAAAATTGTTTTGAGTTCATCCTCATCACAAATGCGGCAAATTGGAGGGCACGGTTCACCGCACAGTCCAACGCAATCATGGTCGCATGGCAACTTCTTTTTGCATGGTTCATTACATGGATCTCTGTCGCATTTTCTCGCACACTTCTTTTTTTTTTCACTTTTTGTTCGCATTTCCAAGTGCAGGCCTCCTAAAAGTGTGTATTAGAAGCAGCAATCAATACATATGAAGCAAAATAAATATATAACTTTGAAATGTAGATTACGAATGTTACCTTACAACTGGCACAGGGCACTCCACATTTCTTCGTACATTTGGAATGAACACACTCATAAGTACACATTTCAGTACATGGTGGACAATATTCACGACAGGGTACTTTGCAACTGAAAATGTTCAAATATTTATGTATAAAATATAATAAATTATTTATGTAGCTATTAAATTCATCTTTGAATAAATTCAGTACCTATGTTGACAAACAAGTACATTTCCCATTCCTTTTTCCTCACATGGAATATGTATTCTTCCCTGATAACATTGGGAGCATAAGCCAGCGCATTTGTGACCACATTGAAGATATTTGTTGCACAGTTCTTTACAATTGTCCAAAAATTCATTTGTGTTTGTAATAGCTTCAGGTGTATGTAATAAATGACATGGAACATATGCAAGATGACCACATGGTGATTGGATTGCACTTTGAACAAGAACTTCACATTTTGTAGTGCATGGATCTCGACATGTGTTCTTACAACTATGACCACAAGATAATATTTTTTTGCACTTTTCATAGCAATTGGTTATGTCAGCAGCATCACCGCAGTTCATTTTTATTTTATGATGACACTGTGGTATTTCTTTTATAACTTTGACTTTGCAATTTCCACATGGTTCAAAACACTTCAACTTGCAATGGTGTCCGCATTCCAAAGTACGTTTGCAAGGATATTTGCAAGGGACATTATCTAAATCCTTAGAACAGTCCATAGTTTCATAGTGAGTACAGTTTTTATATGTTTTTTTTACTTTAATGGTACAAGGTGGACATGGTTCAAAACATTGCTTTTCGCATTGATGGTCATTTTTGCAACCCTGATAAAATTCGGGCATGGTTTTGCACATTTGTAGTCAATGTGATCTGGATCTTTGTTTGCGTGGCAATTCAATTCACATTGATGTCCACAATCCAATCTATTAATGCACGGGAAAGGACATGAAAACTTTAAAGGATCCGCTTGGCAAGGTTTTTCCACTTCATGCTTACAAAGTGGTAATATTTCAGTTACTATTTTCTCTGCAAACATATAAGTCTCGTTTTTGACCACAAGCCATCATCGCCTCATGACCACATTTTAATTTCTTCAATACTTGAACACGACAAGAGCTACACTCCTCTGAGCATAAGTTTCTGCACATATGCTGTCTCTTGCACAATCTAACATTCAAAAGTTCAATAATAATAAAAAAATGTATATATATATATATATATATATATTATATATATAATTATTATAATTGAATCATTGTATTTACCTGGTGCAAGGTTCTTTACATTTATATTTCTGATGCTCTCTATCAAGTACATGGCAAACACTATTACAATAATGTCCACATGGAATTAATGAACGACAAATTCTACTGCAGCCACCTTCTGGTGCTTTATTGAAATCTTCTGCACAAGAAATTGTTGTAAATTCATCAATATGTATTTGGCATCGCAAAGTCAGATGTGGGCCCACGCAATTAATTTTTTCCAATGAATCATTGATTTTAGGCCATATTTTACTGCTGGCAACTAGATTGTCCATATTGCCAATAATGTAGAAACCTTAAATAAATATTGTTTAGAAATTACTTTTGGTAAATGTTATATGTCATTTAAGAAACGTAATATACCTATCTTCGCTCTTGATAATGCAACACAAACTCTATTCTCAGTTTTTAAAAATCCAATTTTTGCCTCGCTATTACTGCGGACCAATGAGAGCAATATAATTTCATTTTCTTCACCTTGAAAATTATCTACAACAGTTACTTTAACGTCTTCCAACAAATTTTCTCTCCTAATTAAGGATTTTATTAAAAACATTTGCCCTAAATAGGTGGTAAGAATTGTTATTTTTGTGGGGTCATATCCTTGCAAGCAAAGATATCTGCATAGTCTCACAATCAAAGCGGCTTCAAATGAATTTTTTTTTGTAACATTGTCATCATCATTTAGTTGATCTTCGAATACATTATGTTTTATGAAATATAAACTCTTTGTAACTCCTACAACTTCAGGATACTCTAAAACACTTTCATGGTTTTGGAGATCTTCATATATATTGGGGCATACCAAACTTGCAATTTCTGGTCTCATTCTGTGTTGAACGTTCAGTTGAACACAATTCATTTTATTATTCAACATTCTTTCAAATAAAGATATGTCCAAGTTATAATATCTGCACAATTTATATGCCGCTGTTGATGGTTTTAATTGAAGATGATCACCAATAAGTATCAAGTGCTCGCAGTGTTGGGTTAAGGAAACAATAATGTGGGATTCTGGGACTTCTGCGGCTTCTTCAATTATGACAATTGGAATTTTCAATACATTTAGAGAAGCTTGCAAACGAGCTGCACAGGTAGTTGTCATACCAATGACTTTTGCTTCTTGAAGTATTGCTATATCATCAATCTGGCATATTTCAGCATGTTGCTTTTTCAGGTTTTGAATTTGAGCGCTTAAGTGAGTAATTTCATGTTCTATTTTAGTTTTCATTTTATTTTTGAAATATTTATATAGAGACCATTTCTCTTCTCTATTGCATCTTAATCCTTTTCTGGCTATAATTGGTATATTACTCATATTACCAAGAGTTCCATTGGAAAATTCTCTCATACATTCTGTAAACTTATTATAAATTAATAACTTTTCATTATATTCTCTTATTATTTCGGTATATTTAATCATTTCATTATGATCATCAAGCGGAAAAAGTGTTTCCATTTTTTTCCGTAACGCTTGTATATTGGACAGTAAAGACTTTTCATTTACAAAAACTTCCAAATTCATTGAAACACCAGAAATATCTATTAATAAATCATCATCAAAAATTCTGGTCTCTCTCATTGTATCAAAATAATCCTCTTTGCCCAAACCTTCAATTTCTTCGTAATTTATATTATCATCAACTAAATTAGGATGGCTTCTATTAATATCAAAATTTGTAATTTCCCTTTCATCTATATCTAGCAACCAATAAACAAATCTATTGAAATATTTTTTAGGCTCATTCAAACATTCTGGGAAAACTTTGGCATCCCAATCAGCTATAATACACTTATTTTCTTTTATTAATTCTAAATCTTGAAGTTTACTTTGAAAAGCCCTATATGCATCATTTAATTCAAATAATACTTGAGGACGGTTTTTTCTTCTGAAATTACTTAAATTAAATTTATTTAACCTTTCATTTTTTGAACGATTACCTACTCTAATAATATTTTGTGTGTATGGAATTAACCTTCTAAAAACTGATCTAGTGCATGGTTAGTATAGCAAACTATTAACATTTGCTTGTCTCTTATATTTCTCAAAAGAATAGAGGCCACTTTCAAAGCAATGTAAGTTTTTCCCGTTCCAGGTGGGCCTTGTATTATTGAAAATTCATTAGTTAAGGCCAACTGTACAGCTTTATACTGTGAATCATTTAATTCAAGTTTTTCAGCATCAGGCCATTGTTTGAAATCAGTTACGTTTATCTCTAAATGATGATGAGTATAGATTTTTCCTTCTTGCAGATATTTTGGTCTATTAGACTCACACTGAAAGTGTACGTGTATAACTATCTTAATAAATTAAGATTAATTAGATAATATAAGATTACTTTAGTTTTAGACTAACCTGAACATTTACCAAATATTTTTGCATTGGAAAATTGTGTTCGGCAAGCCTTTTTAAAGCCTTCAGTACATGAAAATAGGGCTCAAAGTAAATCTCACTTTCAACCATCCAATGTATATCTTGAGATCTGAATAATTGATCTTCTAGGTGAGAAAACTCTTCACATAATTGAACTACTAACTAGAAGTACAAAAAATAATTTACATCATGTAATAAAAATTATAATGAAATAATGATTTTCCATACATAACCATCCATAAGGAGCTTTATATCACGCTCAACTACTGTTCCAAATATTAAACTTTGAAATTTATTAGATGTGAAGCATAACAAGGAGCCAAATAAAAACCTTTTAGATTGTTCCCAATTTGTTTTATTTTTCATAGATTTGGCACTTTGTAATCTATAAATAAATTTTATTAGGATGATCAATGTAAACATATTGATAAATAATATTATTTCAATTACCTATCAGCTTTAAAGTCTACTAAAATGCCCACAGCACTTTTAGATAAATATCGTGAAACAAATTTCACGTTTTTGTAAACATGTATGCTTGATTTATTATTTTTTCTTTTTCCTTCATTATTATTATTCAATAATTCTTGAACTCCTATTGATCAGTAATTAATTAATAGACAATATCAAATAAATAAAATATATATGTATAGTATATATATATATATATATATATATATATATATATATATATATATATGCATATACCTTCTCTCATGGGAGAAATAAAATCCTCTCTCAATAATCTAAACTGCACATCTAAGTAATGTTCTACACTAACATAGGAACCTTCTTTAATATTAGGTCGTAGAAATGGCTTTTCATTTGAAAGTATGTCTGCGGGATTAGGATAAATACCTAATGAGCGAAAATTTTCAGGTGGTTCTTCATAATCAATATAGTTCTCTTCTTTAATTTGTTCCTGAAATATTGAAATATTAATATAACAGTAAATATTTCAAATATGTATAATGGTATTTTGCTAAACACCTTTTTTCTTTGATGCTCCTCAAAAGTGTAATTAAACTTCTTTATAAAATCATCAAATTCTTTTAATATCTTTGGATATATTTTGGCTTGATTGTTTGGAGTTTGGATACTAATATTGCAGGCGTGTACTATTTCATATAGCCTGCTGCAAGCGGTATTTGGTAATAATAGAAGAATATTATTAAATAAGTTAATCAAAGAAGACCAAAACGAATTCATATCCTGATAATAGGAACTGTTCATATTTTGTTTAGATTCATGTTGAACAGCCAAATTTATTACATATAGTTGTAAATTCTTGATAAATTCCGAATTGCATATAAAAGATAAAAATTCAGTAAAACCAGTGTCACAAATTTTTGAAAGAAGTTTGACTGCCAATACTATTATATCGGGTTTCATAGGTGATTTGTAAAATTTATCAAATTCTTTCTTTTTATCTTGTAACACCACTAATATATCTGCAGGTTCCTTCTGCAGTGTTTGTTGTAGAAAATTGAATCCTATAAAAAATTCATTTGCAGTGCGTTTTTGTAAAGGTAGATGGGATAACGCAAAAGCTTGTTTATCTCGTTTTTCACCTAATAAACAAAATATTATTGAAATAGATTTAATAAATTTATAAACATATAATAAATATTAGAGAAGCAACAATCATTTTCTTTCAAGTAAAATAAAAATAATTTGATACATTTTATTAAATTATTGCTTTAACACTTGTTTTTAAATATATTATTTTAAATATTTAGTTGTTAGTCATAATGTTATCATGTTTGCTGAGTGGCTCTTATTATTCAATGCACTGGATTACATTAAGGTAAATTGTTTTCCAAGTGGAAAAAAGTTATCAGATAAGATAATAAAAATAAATTAAAAGCTTGGTATGTTTTCGTGAACATGTATCAATGTATAATACACAGACAGGCATTATCCACACACAAAAAATATTGTATACTCACATTTGTTTCTATCTGTTTCCTTTTGTGAAAAATGTATTTGTAAGTTGTTTAAGTTATTCCCTTCAATGCTTTTTTTATCACTTGTTGTATTGTTTTTAAATCTTTTCTCATTCCTCCACTTTCGAAAAGCATCTGCAATAGTACTCTGATTTTATTATATAAAAATATAAAGAGGACTAACAAGGTAACCATCAGGTTTACTCTTCTGGGATTTTGATGAAATTTCACATGGTTATAGAGTTGATTGTCAAACCGAACACCTTTAAATATTAGAGTCCTATGAGAAGCGGTTTAATTATAAAAATTAAATAAAAATTGAATAAAGCTGCGAAGAAACGGAGCGCAACGCGCGTAGATATAGGGCTTAGCGCGTTTTTCGTAGTTTTAATCAGTTTTTATTTAATTTTTATGATTAAACCGCTTCTCATAGGACTCTAATTTTTAAAGGTGCTCGGTTTGACAATCAACTCTATAATCATGAAAAGTTTCATCAAAATCCCAGAAGAATAAAACTGATGGTTACCTTGTAAGTGATACCATTTTACTGGTAACAATAATTAAATACAGAATTTCAACACAGTAAATTATTGCAATATAATGAATAAGCAAACTTTACAAACCAGTTCTTGTATTTGGTTTTTCAGGAATAAATCTCTGTCCTGGTCTCCTCGGGATAGCACCAGAACCATTTCTTATAATATTTGCATCTGCTGCTTCCTTATTTCTTTGAGAATCACGCCAATCATCCATATTGATGGATAATTATATAAATATCTTCATCTATTTTTTCTGTTTCCTTAAAGTAATTAAATGTGAACTAATGTGATATACATAATAATTATTAAGAGCTTGAGCTATTCAGCTCAAGCTTAGTTTTTATAAAATTTAACGAAATATAAGAGCTGATTTAACTAACTAAACAATTACATTATGCATGAATTTAATATTATCTTTGTTAGGCAATTATGATTTTGCCTTACCTGATTTTAAATCAAAATAAAAACAGAAAATTATAGTAAGTTAACACAAAAACTAGTATTAACAAAAATACACTCGACGATTTCTGAATACAAACTTAGATTTTACTACACATTAGTAAAGATAACGACTGTTAATAATTCGGGGTTTCACCGATATGTGTTACACCCATCCATATACTTATGCACTGCTTCTTTTATATATGCGTCACAATGATAATGGGTATGTTCAATGTGCAATCGCTGATTCTCGCTCGCCGCAATTTCATAATTTCGTCAATGTAGTCTCTCTAACCACTCTTTAACTTATTAAAATTGCAGTTTAATCTGTCTCTAATCGTTAAATGTTAAATAAATGTGGTTTAAATGGTTGATTTATTAATTTTTCAAAGAAGAAATTGACTTTTTCGCCGACAAACCCGACTTGCTAAATTTATGTTTTTTTCGGCGTTTCAAGTTATTCTAAATCGTATGAGACCGAAATTGGAAAAAGTGTATATGATAAAGTAAAAGATATATGAGCAAAAATAGACCTTCCGTCGACGTTTCCTCAAAAACGGAAACAAATGAAATTGATCCACCGTTTAAAAAAAAATTTAAAGCTATTTGATGAAACTCGATAAGAACTAAATATGTTTTGCGGGACAATCGGTCGATCTGTTTATTTAGAATTAACAAAGAACAATTCTCTTGGTGAATCAAATAAACAATACATTTTTGGTATTCGTAAGACCGTTTTAAATAGCAAACGTGAGTAGTTACGCGTGTAACGCATTCTTTTGTCAATCGAATTAGAAGTATAACTTCAAGAATATACATCGCAATTATACGGCCTCATTTTTGGTATGCCAATAGATTTCAGTTTTTTTAGTTCTCCTTAATATTAAATCCTTACATCCTTTGGAAAATTTTGTTCTAAAATGTAATAAAAAAATCAGAATGATTATTTGTTAATAACTAGTGGTGTATGGCATCGTGCCTTAAGGCAAATTGCAGGAACTTCCCGTACTAAAAATTGAAATTAAAAATAAAAATTCAATTTTTTTTTTGAACTTCCCGAAGGAGAAGTTTATGTTTTCATAAAAAAATCCGAATCGCTAATTTTGTTTTCTCGACGTTTCAAGCCATTCTGAATCGAATGAGACCAAATTTGGAAAAAGTATGTTTTTTTTTTTTTTTTTTTTTTGTATAGCGAAGGAAATGCTTTTATGCATCCCAGACCGGTCTTCTGTCTGGGTATGTCGGACTCGATACCGCCCTGGTATAATACCGACTAAAACCTCCGCTTTGCCCCTGCCTCTGGTCCCCACGGAAACCGCCGCTAGGCATTACTTCGTGGGGGGAGGATCTAGAATGTTACAATTCTTAACTTGTTATAAACAATGTTATAAATCATAAACATTTTACTTATCTTTTAAATGGGCGAAGTCCCATTCGCCCTTTCTCTCTCTATAGAACGCAGGTCCATTAAAACGTCTCTCGCAAATCTGTCTATGGCGTTCCAAGCAGCTTCACTTGTCAGCATCACTTCAACAACATTACCTGGGGTAATTGTGCGTCTCAATGTCTCCTCCACATCATCCCGTAGAGCACCAAATCGCGGGCACACGAAGAACACGTGCTCAGCATCTTCGATTTCGCCCAAACAATATGGGCAATCCGGCGAGCTATCGTGCTTGAATCGGTGTAGGTAGGCTCGAAAACAGCCATGCCCCGATAGCATTTGCGTAGTATAATAGTTTACTTCGCCGTGTTTGCGACTTAGCCAGACTTTGATGTTAGGAATGAGACGATGCGTCCATCTGCCCTTTACAGCGACATCCCACAGTCGCTGCCATCGGTCAATGCTGTTCTGCCGTTCTTCTAATCTTAACTTTTCAGTACACAGTTGTTGATGTCTTCTATGGTAAATTGTCCGTCTTTCCTCTGCTAAGACTAAGAGAGGCACAGTTCCTGAAATGACGCACACTGCTTCCGCCGATATTGTGCGAAATGCGCAAGCAATTCTTATAGCACTGAGACGGTATAAGGGCCCTGCCATTCTCCTCGATTTTTGAGATTTAAGAGCATCACCCCATATGGAGATACCATATGTCAGCACTGAAGTAATAACTGACGATAGTAATATCCTTCTGGTTTGTTTAGGACCTCCAATATTAGGCATCAGTCGAGCAAGTTTCGTCCTAACTATTGACGCCTTAGCACTAACGTGTTCCACCTGTTGATTGAAATTCAAACGAGCATCAAGCATTACGCCAAGGTAACAGATGTGAGGTTTTGACGTGATCTCAAGATTTCCTATCTTTAGCTTGATGGTCTCAATTCTTTTCCTACTAGTGATAAGAACAGCTTCACTTTTTTGTTGTGCTAATTGGAGATTCATTGTTCCCATCCACCGATTAATTTTTCTGAATGTAATATCGAATAGGCTTACGATGTCATCAATTTGTTTGGAGACAACCACTATGGCAACATCGTCTGCATATGCTACTAGTTTCACACATTCTGGAAACTCTAGTCTCAAAAGGCCATCATACATAATATTCCACAGCAAAGGGCCTAGAACAGAGCCCTGCGGCACACCTCCTGTTATATTATATTCTTCTGTACCATCGCGTGAATGGTACATTAGAATTCTGTCTGTAAAGTAGCTTGCGACTATATTGCATAGGTATGCTGGCACGTTCTTGTCACGGAGTGCATTCATAATGCAATCCCAGTTTGGAAAAAGTATGTATGTGTGTGTGTGTGTGAACAGATTTTTTGCCGTAAATCGACGTTTTCTCAAAAACGGCTGGACCGATTTCAAAAATTTAAAAACCACTCGATGTATCTCGATGAGTACTATTGTTTGTTAGTTTTGTGCGACGATCGGCCAAGCCGTTTCTTTATAAATCGCAGAAAAATAAAAAAAAATTGTCTACGTTTTAGCCCGCAATTCTAAATCAATTTTGAAAATTCAAAAACCGTTCGAAAGATATTAGCTGGGAATCGTGCTGATAAGTTTTTGGTAGAGATCGGCCGGGCCGTTTTCTTGTAATAAAGTCTTATAGAATTAGACTATAATATCATGGTCTTATAGAACTTACTGAAATATTACGGCCTTACGACAAGTAGTTTAATTTAAAAATTCATCAAAGGTTGAGAAAATGAATTTTGACGTTTGTTAAAAATAAAATTAGATAATTTAGTTGGTATAACGATAGTGTATTTGGTCTTGAACATAGTAAACCATTAAAGTCCCACGGAAACTGGTTTAATTATAAAAATTATTGATTTTTGAAAATTTGCTTTTAGAAAATACTCCGAGATAACGTGTTCGTTCGTTCGTTTGCAATGATGTGTAATAAATCCACTCAGAATACTTATAATCACTCATAAATTAATTTATTTTTTATTGATTAAGTCGATTATTTACACATTTCGGGAAGTTCATGTAACTTGCCTCAAGGCAAAATACCAATACCAACTAGTTTAACTTTGAAAAAAAAAAAAATTTGAGAATTTTGAAATTTTTTAAGAAAGTTGACCTTTTTAAAAAAATGAATTTTTTCATACTTTGAAAATTTTGAACTGTTTTTCAAAGCAATCGCAATTGGTACAAATCGAACCAATCGCAATTGGTACGGAACCCATAGAAACGCAAACAAAATTTATTTTCATTATTAAATGCATATAAATTTATATGCAGATGTTTAAACATCTGATAATTTGATATACATATGTCTAATGATTATTTTTATCCGCCGAATGGCATTTTTTTTGTTTTTTTTTTTATTGGATTTTCGAAACTGCTAGACCTGTCCTCGCAATTAGCTAGTTCTTTATTTTGTCAATACAAATACAATATTACTTTTTGCTCCGTATCTTTGAAACAGCTGGACCTGCATTTGCCAAAAACTAATTAGTACGTCCTCTTATCAATAGAAATCGAATTCAAATCGGTCTTCTCAGAATTATCGAATTCTCAGAATTAAAAATTGTATCCGCACATACATACCCTAGACAATATCATACATACATCTTTGTATATTTTTGTTTTCTGAGATATGCCAAAATATTCAGTAACCTCTGAAACGTAAAAATATATACTATTTTCATTTTCAATTTTTTTGCGATCACTATTACTCCAACCTACGGGAAGTTAATTAATCATTATTATAAATGAAAGATAAATTATTTATTATTTATGAATGTGTAGTCGCGACTGCATTTGCTCTATTTGAAAATAAATTTCTTCACATGATGTTGGTGATATTGGTTTCCTTAATGTCCATATCTATATAATTATTTATCTATGGTCCATATCATCGCTGTCATTGCCTTTGCCTCTTCTCTTCTCTTTTCTTCTCTTCGCTTCAGTTAAGCTTTCTAATCTCTTATCTGTTGACGTTCACTGCGATAGTGTTGACACAAGGATAGAGTAGGCTAGTAGAGATGATAACCTGCGTTAGAAATAATGCGTAGTATATTTTATGTCTTCCTATATTACTTATTTTGTATTGTTTCTGGTGCTAGTACGTAAAATATTTCTATAATGATTTTGTGAATTAATTGTTTTAGTTTATATTATTATTCGATTATAATAATTTTAGGTTATCAGACGTGCAAAGTCAATATATTAACAGAAAAATGCACTCCGATCAATACTATTTGCACACAAAATACAGCTAGTGAAGATTTTGGCTCATGCAAATGCATAGATAAGTATCAATTTAATGAACATTATACTTCCGACAAAGATTATTGTAGTCTCATAGAAACAAGTACAATTGCAGAAGTTGATATAACTTCCAATGATATATCCATAGAAAAAACTCAAACCTCTGGGTACTCTAGAGATATTTTAGTTGCAGTTCTGACTGTGATTATTTTAATATGTCTTACTTTACCTGCTGCATTTATAATTTACAAATATGGCATATACGACTGGATTTGTAGAAAAGTTAATGGTAACAGAATGCTACCTCGATATGAGGATGTGATGATAGGGCAAGAAGATACTGACGATGATCCCTTGCCATAAGTGAATATTATAATTTTATATTTTCTTGATCTCCTTACAATGATGTAGAATATTGCCTTCAAGTCATATGTTGTAAATAGTTTTACAAAATGATAATGTTATTTATCTATTGAATATATGTATGTTATGTAATTTATTTAAATATTAATTTATTAACAGATGATGACTAGAAGTCACAATTGTGTTATTGAAGTTGTTGCATGTAAATGAATTATTTTTAAATAGTTATATTCAAATAACATGAAATAAATTTTGTATTTGTGATTGGTGAAAGTGATGGAAATATTTTGTTGAATACAAGCATATACATTATTACAAAATGAAATGATATATTTTTATAATTTCAAAGATGTACATCTTTAGATATTAAAACTTTTTTTTAAATCTTCTCCTAATTTATTTACATATGTTTAAATTATGAGGGCGTAGGTCTTCCTTGTGAAGTCCATGTTGCTGATTCGTACAGAATCATATTCCAGATCATAGATAAAAGAAGTATATTGAGATATAGAATTTTATCAGTTTGTTTCACAGATTGCAGCTCAGTTTGTATATCAATAGAAAATATATATACCGAAGTTAACTGAAATTTTGTTAATCATTATCAAAATATGAATGCATACACAACATAAATATTTATATTTGCATATATTTATTTGTGTTAACTTGTATATATGTAGATAATAATTGTAAATCATTTTCTCAAGAAATAATTGACTTCGTATAAACTTATATTTTTGTATGTTGCTATATTTAAATATTTTTTTCTTGGTAGAAAAAGGCACCAAATTCAAATTTCGTATATTTATATTCAGAAATTTGGTTATCTGCCATCTATCGGTAGCCGTTTTCGGTCACCACAGCCTTGTCAGTTGTTTTCGCCTACATTGTCCATTTTCGTACATCTTCCGAATGGAGATTAGTGAAAAAAAAATCATGTACTATCCTGCTTATGAATCATTGATAAATTGTGATAATTCTAAAATAATATTTACGATACGCGAGTTTTAAATAGAGTATCGTCGATATTAATCAGTTACTAGTTGCATTTAGTTTCCAAATAATGTGAGCAGTATGAGATTATAACAAGATGGTTGACATTCTGTGTGATGTATATGTTAATGAATATATGGGTTTAAATACGCACGTTTGATATGAAATAAATAAATGTTTTTGGACTACATTGTTTAGCCTAATATCTGTTTGGTATTCTATTGCTGAGGCTGCACTATATTTTTATTTTTTATTAGCTTTGGTAAATTGACAGTCAAATGTGTAGGTTTTTGATTTAGAATATTAACGCGTAATAAAAGTAAATTTCTAATTAAAAAACTATCATGAGTGTCAAGTACATGTTTTTTATGAACCTTTACTAAATGCTTTATTAGTATTTCAAGTGATTTTCTATTTTAGTGACAAAAATGTTAATTTTAGATTCAACTTGCCAAGTATAAATAAACTGTTACATTAATATGTTAATAATGTCTTGAGTGTGCTTCGAACATTTCTTTTTAAAAAATGAATTTATATATTTACTTAAATAAGAGATAAATAGTAAGTGTACTGCTTAAATATGTCATTAAAACCTGTATCTTTGGATGAGTTTATTGGCCTGCTGGGTAAAACAGACTTGAGGCAGCGTCAGAATTTGGCTGATGCTCTTGTTGCATATTTGGCCGATGATAATAATTCTCTTGAATGTGAGGATTTAGGTCTATTAGTAGATGGACTTTTACCATGGTTAGATGGTGGAAATTTTAAGGTGACTTTTACTTTTGTTTATTACTATTTTTAATATATATTGATATTACAAATATCATAAATTTAATATTAGCTTATTAGTTGTTACAACATATAATTGTTTTCAACATAGTTTTACTTTTATATATTGTTCTGTAGCATTACTTCTAATTCATATTTTTTATGGATTCTATAAAATTATAGTTACATTTTGATTTTTAAAGTTTTACACATATCATATTTTATATATCGCAACATTAACAAATATGTTTTGTGTGTATTTGAGTATTATTCTTAATAAAATAATATTTTAGATTGCTCAAAGCACTCTTGAAGTATTCAATGAATTAATCGGACGCCTTGGAAGTGATTTTAGTGCTTACGCAGCTACAGTATTAACACACATCATAGACAGGTATAAAAATTATGATATATAAAAATATGATTAATTGCAAAAAGTATTGACATGTACCTGTAAAAAAAGATAAATGGAATAAATTAAACAAAAATGTTTGATTTAACCATTTATGAAATATGATTACACATAATGTTAAACTTTCTTAATATTTAATTTGGATTTAGAATTGAGAAAGCTATTTGGAATTATGTTTTATGTTAGATTATTTTATGTTAGAAAATCAACACAACTTATATCGATATGTAACTATTGGGACATAAAATATTATGTTGAAACTTTATTACATTTGAGATATATTTTTGTGATATTTAATAAAACTTTTAAAAGATGTTATTGCAATTTAATTTACATTTATCTTTTATGCAATAGGTTAGGAGATTCAAGGGAAACAGTTAGAGAAAAGGCTCTTATAGTATTGCAAAAGTTAACCGAATGTCAAGTCTTTAGTGCACAGGTTTTGCTGAGCAAATTAATCCCATATTTTAAACATAAAAATGCTAAACTTCGAGAGGAAGTTTTGCGATGTGTTGTGCTCACACTCAATGAGTATGTTCATGTTATCTACACATTTTTTAATAGAGTACATATTTTAATCTATTTTTTTTTAACAAAAAATTTAGGCATGGCAGTCAAGCACTTTCACTTAAGACATTTATTCCTTGCATAATGAGCTTGTTGAGTGATCCAAATTCTGCTGTCCGTGATGCCTCTATCAATACTCTAGTCGAAATATATAAACATGTTGGTGAGAGGTTGAGGGTTGATTTAAGGAAAAAAGACATACCTGCACCGAAATTAGCATTATTGGAAAATCGGTTTGATGAGGCTAGAAATCTTGGATTACTGTTGCCTTCTGCAATGGGTAATTAGCCTTTTTAAAGCTAATTTTATAAGTCTGTATTATTTATTTATGCCTTTACTTATTCAGTAGGTCCAGCTGATGAACCTGATAATTTAGTAATGCAAAGACCAGCTAAACCAGTGAAAAGAGCTGCTAGTATGCCACTGAAAAAGGGAATTAATAATCAAGCTGAGACACCCGGTAACATATTTCTATAATAATAAACTTAAGACACAATTTTATGTATATATACATATATATATATATATATACTAGATGACCGACAGACGTTGTCCTGTACCCATGTCTAAATTTTTTTACTATAATATACTATTATTTACCGTTTACCTAAAAATAATAATTATTGTTTTTTAAATAACTCTTCACGCCAAAATGCATGTACATTTATAATATGAGCGATGTTAAATGTTGAGTTGCTTTAAATAAAATGATGAGTCTTAATTCTGATACATCTCAGCTGCTTTTTGGCAATAATAATGTAGACATTTCATTTTTCTTATTCATAATCATAAATTTATTATACATATTCTAACATTGTCTAGGCTCATAAGTAAATTGAAATTTTTGACAGATGATAGTTTTCATTTGTTTTCAATGCAAACAATAACATGTCGTTGTTTGAATTTTTTCTATTTATTTCTACAATATTGCACATACATCCCAGTACTTTATAATCACATACATTCTAGAAAATTTCCTTAACAAACTTCAGAAAGATTTATCAAAATCCGAATAATCGTTTAGAAGGAGTATACAGTGAGTGCTTGTAATTTAATATGAACTTTATATAATAGCAATAAAGCTCAAATTGATTCTACGTTTAGTTAGAAAACGTTTGTATGAGAAAAAGAAAAGGGCTGTTTTGAGGGTTTTCTCGGCAATTATTCGATTTTTTCTCGCCGTAAGAACCATCCTTGGTCTTCAACGAACATTTTAATAAAATAATTTGCCAAATTCGTCCAGGCGTTGTTGAGTTATGCGCTTACCAACACATTTTGCGATCCATTTTTATATATAAGATATATATATATATATATATATATATATATATATATAAGGTATTACCATTCATTATCATTCTAATGAAGCTTTTTTTTATTATCTTTTCCTATATATGAATGGTGCTATCAAAACAAATTTATTTGCACTTTTATCAACTGAATGATACAGTTTTATATAGTATATAATTGAGAATATTTTGTAGGTGAGGCAGGTCAGTGAGCGTAGAAATATTTGAGAATTCATTCGAAAATGTTCCACGAATAAATCTATTTTCACCTAGAGATTTGGGATGACCACATTAAAGTTATAAAGTCAGT